TGCAAGATTTCTTCATAGCTCCGTGGTTCCCTATCATCTGTCCGTGGAATAATAGAAATGGGTGCCCCAGACTTTTCACTTCCATCTCTGCCCTGCACTGTGCCCTCTAGTAGATTTCTTACCACATTCAAAGCTTCTCAATATGCCAACTATACTTTCCTAAAGTCAACTGCAATATAATTTCACATCAATTCTCGATGGAATGTTGTATGAAAAGAAGCCCCTGAATCCAATATAGAGTCATCAACAGAACTATGAATTGTCAGTAGTAGTGCATTATGTACTTCTTTAGATACCTCATTTGCGCTATCATTGTTCAACTTCTTGGGATTTCTACAGTCCCTCTGTATGTGGCTAGCCTTGCCATAATTTCAGCTGGTTGTCTGCTGACCAGACTTTGATTTTGATCTCCAGCTATTTGAGTTTCCGTCCTGTGATCTCCCTTTGAAATCAACATTCTGTGTCGAACTCGAACCTGAGATCTCGCCATAATCTTTCTTGCACACCTCCTCAGCCAAAATCAAATCACAAATATCATCATATTTCAGTTTAGATTTATCTGCATAATTGCTAACTGTCATCCTCATGGCTTCTCAACTATTTAAAGACGATGCCAACAATATCAACACACATATCTCATCATCAAAATAAATTTCAACAGACGATAATTGATTTGTGATAGTATTGAAATCATTCAAGTATTGAGCAACATAAACACTTTCCACCACTTCAAATTAAATAACTTCTTCATTAGATATAACTTGTTATTCGCCGATAGCTTTTCATACACACCTGACAGGGCTGTCATGAGATCTGCGGTCTTCCTCTCATTAACGACGTTGAGTGCAAAGGACCTTGATAGAGTCAATCGAATAACCCCCAGAACTTATCAATCTAACAAATTTCATTCAGTCTCATCCATCCTTTCAGGTCTTTTCCTCAATAACGAAAGATGAAGTTTCTTCCCATATAGGTAGTCATCTATCTGCATCATCTATCTGCATTCTCCAATAATTCTCCAATAACCAAAATCTATGTCATCAAACTTCCCGATCCCTGAAACCCTCACTTCATCTGCAGCCATTGTTCTTCCTCAGATCCTAATCAACTTTCTGATACCAGTTGTTGAGGTATATTGAAAAAATAATAGAAAAACGATCAATAATGAAGCAAAAAATATAACAACAAAATTCACACCAGAAAACAACAACACAACGGAACACACAGATTTACGTGGTTCGGCAAATTGCCTATGTCCACGGAGTTGCAGATGATTTTACTACTTGAGGAATTTATACCAGTCGATCGTCTCGACTTATAAGAGGGATTTCTCACTTCCTCACTCTCTCTTCTTCTCTCTCTATGCCGAGATACACCAAAGAAGATAAACTTATAAGAGAAATAAATCCAATTTCTCTTTTGCCACAAGCCACCAAGAATAAGCCAAGGGAGAACAATCTTCTTATTCTTCTTTCCTCTTCCTTTTGCCATAAGGAACTACTGTTTGCACTTCTCTTCCTCTATCCCGAGGAAGCCCGAAGAAGAACACAAAAAAGAACCGTGCAAAATCGGACGAAGAGCCGTGCGATACCTTTTTTCGCGAGAGGAGACGACGTTTCACGAACAGAAGCGATACTTCGCTTGGCGATGGAGAAAGGCAGGAGCGGGAGCGGGTTGGCACCGATTTGCAAAACAAGGGAAGTGGGAGCGAGCGAAAGCAATTTCCTTTTTTTTCGTTTTTACTTAATCGAGCTCCACACAACATATCACTCAAATAGTAAATCAACTATTTGCTGGGTGAACTGAGCCAAATATGGATCTAATGCACACTACAGGTCGACAACCAGTCATCTTGATCATTTCAAAAAATGATTAATCAAAACTTTTCCCGATTAGGCAACTCAGAGCGGTCTAATCATTCATCCTTCTTGTTGACTTACTTGGCTTGACTTCATATTGAGTTAAAAAGAAAAAGAATTTTAAGTTTTAAAATGTTAAAAGGTAAGTCCTAAAGTAATCTTCTAAAAAACAAAAACTTATCACTTTCATGTACACGTGATTGTCATCATGGTTTACAAAGTAGAAAGTGTTAAATAGTAGTCCTTTCCAAGTTGGGTTGTGAAAACTGCTCGTTGTTCTCGAGCAGTTCGTGTTCGACTCATTAAGAAGTTCGTGTTCGATTCGTTCAATGAGTTAACGAGCCGAACACGAACAATTTTTCTGTGCTCGATATATAAACAAGCTGAATACTTCTTGTTCAGCTCGTTTTCGCTCGAAATAACTAAATTATATATATATATATAT